AGGTTTAAGTCGAAAAGGGAGTGTGTGTCCCAGCGTGTCCCTCTATTCTAGATCCTGGCTAGGACACCAGTTAGGACTCCTCCTGTGTATAAAGACAGGGACAAAATCTGTATGTGGTTAGCAGGGACTTTTGTGTGGCATGGCCAGTCCCCTCTCCCTTTCTTCCCCAGAACCTTCCTCCACCAACCTCCTGTGCTCCTACTGCAGATTCTGGTCCAGAAGCCTCAAGCAGTTCTGCTTCTAAGATGAGGCGCTCAGTCCTGGTTAGAAACCCGGGCCACAAGAGCCTTAGGCCACTTTATGGAGACCTTCATTCAGACCCGGAAGACCTGGACCCCAGTCCCAAAGATCCAGACCCTATTTCTGAAAGCCCTGAGCCCGAGCCGGAAGACCTCAACATTGTCTCAGAAGATGGGGACGCCAGTTTTGAAGATCTGGACCCTGAAGCAGAAGAAGCTCCACGATCCATTTTGGGGAAGCCAGACTCGGGTTCCCAAGATCTGGATCCCATGTCTTCAAGTTTCGACCTTGATCCTGATGTCATTGGCCCTGTGCCCCTGGTTCTCGACCCAAGCAATGACATCCTCAGCCCGGCTGCCCCAGATGTGGATTCCCTTCCCTCTGGCTTCACTGCCACTCCTGAAATCTTGGCCACCAGCCCAGAGGTGCTTCCCGCCCCTGCCAGTCCACCTCGTCCCTTCTCCTGTCCCGATTGTGGGAGAGCCTTCCGTCGAAGCTCTGGGTTGAGCCAGCACCGACGTACCCACAGTGGAGAGAAGCCTTACCGCTGTCCCGACTGTGGCAAGTCATTCAGCCACGGCGCCACACTGGCCCAACATCGAGGCATCCACACGGGTGCAAGGCCCTACCAGTGTGCTGCCTGTGGCAAGGCCTTCGGCTGGCGGTCCACGCTACTCAAGCATCGCAGCAGCCACAGCGGGGAGAAGCCACACCACTGCCCTGTGTGTGGCAAGGCCTTCGGTCATGGCTCATTGCTGGCTCAACACCTGCGTACACATGGTGGCCCTCGTCCCCACAAGTGCCCGGTGTGTGCCAAGGGGTTTGGGCAGGGCTCTGCGCTACTTAAACATCTGCGCACCCACACTGGTGAGCGTCCCTACCCGTGCCCGCAGTGCGGCAAGGCTTTTGGGCAGAGCTCAGCGTTGCTCCAGCATCAGCGCACCCACACAGCTGAGCGTCCCTACCGCTGTCCCCACTGTGGCAAGGCCTTTGGGCAGAGCTCCAACTTGCAGCACCACCTCCGTATCCACACTGGTGAGCGTCCTTATGCCTGCCCACACTGCTCCAAGGCCTTTGGGCAGAGCTCGGCACTCCTGCAACACCTCCATGTGCATTCTGGCGAGCGCCCCTACCGTTGTCAGCTCTGTGGCAAGGCCTTTGGCCAAGCCTCCAGCCTTACCAAGCATAAGCGCGTGCATGAAGGAGCTGCAGCTGCCGCCGCTGCAGCAGCTGCTGCAGCAGCAGCTGGGCTGGGCCTCGGGCCTGGCTTGAGCCCAGTTTCTATGATGAGGCCAGGGCAGATCTCTTTCCTAGGTCCTGAAGCTGTTTCTGTGCTGGAATCTGGCCTGGGCCTCAGCTCTGGTGCCAGCTCTGCCCGAAGTCCTGACCCTACATCTGTGCTGGATTCCCTCCGAAATCCCATCCTCCAGGCCCACTCAGGATCCATCTCCAGTCCTGATCTTGTTCTATCATCTGACCCTAAGCCAGGCCATGATGCTGACCCTGATGTGGTACCCAGTCCTGACCAAGAATCTGATCCCAGTCCTAACCCTGATCTTGTCCCCAGTCCTGACCCCTACCCTAAGTCCCAAACTGATCCCTGCTCTCCCACTCATGACAGTCCCAGCCCAGCCCTTACAACTGGAGAGAGTCCCAAGTGGTTAAAGGAGGAAGGGGCATTACTGGGGCCCGATGGATAAAGGGGGCACTGGCATCTATGGTGGTTTGGGGAAAGTGTGTTATATTCATAGTAAAATCCTCCTGCCTCCTGACTGTCTTGTTGCTTGCCTTTTGTGATTTCTCCTACTGCAGGTAGGGTTGGAGGGTGTGGTTAAAGCCAGCCAGACCTGTGTAGGCACACCCTGTAGGCTTCATAGCTTCCCATACAAGGCCCCACACAGCATCTTTCCCACTCAACATGTCTTTGCTCTCCTAGGTCTGGCCACTATGGTCAGGTCACAACCTCTGTGGGTGTTTTCCAGTGCTGGAATTTCTGGCATGCTAATGTTCTTAGTGGGCTGACCATGGAAGCTACTGAAGGACATCTAAAACAATCCATTGGGTCCTTGAACTAACCTCCTTGCCCTTGAACAACACTGGAGGAGTGAAGGTCACATATTTATATTGCACATCTACGTGCTTACCAAACATCTGTTAGCCTGTGTAGCAGTGCAGGCCTGTCACCCCAACACGCAGGAGGTAGTAGCTGGAGAATTGGGAGAATGTGACTGCCACAAAAAGCTAGACTATCACTTGGTGGTTGTTGCTTTTATCTTAAAATATTTATTTTTATTTGATATGTAGAAATGTTTTGCCTGCATGTATATCTGTGTTCCATGTACATAGAGTGTCCATGCAGGCCAAAAGAGGACATTGGATCCCCTGGAACTGGAGTTATAGATGGTTATGAATCATGATCTGAGTGATGGGAATTGAACCCAGGTCCTCAGTAAGAGCAGTTAAGTACTCTTAACCACCAAGCCATCTTTTATATATTTACAAAGTATATTCATTTGTGCTTTTACCTGGTGAGCCATCTACTAGCCTGTTTGATTTTATTTGAAATTTTCATTTTTACTTCATGTGTATGAGTGTTTTGCCTGCGTGCAAGTGCATCGAGCGCATGCCTGGTGCCCAGGGTAATGCTGGGTGCCCTGGAACGGCAGCTATGGGCAGTATGAACTGCCATGTGGGTCGTGGGTCCTGGGTACTGACTCAGGATGAACAACCATCTCTTCACTTTGTTTGTTGAGATAGGGTCTCATTTTGTACCACTGGCTGGCCTGGCACTTGATGTGGTCCAGGCTTGCCTCAGGTTCCTGGATTCTGGCATCATAGCTATAAATCATCATGTCCCAATAAGCATCCAATACTGATTGAGGTCTCAGCAGGAAGCAAGACCAGTGAAGCTTGGACACTTCTAAGTTAGAAATATTTCAAAGCTAAGCATAGAGGGTAGAACATTCTACAGCATAGCAAGATTTCTGATTTAGATAGGGGGATCAATTTTCTGGAGTAGGGGGCAGGTGTGTGTGTGTGTGTGTGAGAGAGTTTCAGGGGTAGGATATCACTACTCTGTGTGTGTGTGTGTGTGTGTGTGTGTGTGTGTGTGTACACATGGAGGCAAGGGATCCAGGCTGATGTCTTCCAATTACTCTTCACCTTTTTCTTTTCATTATATGTCTATGAGTGTTTTGCTTTCAGGTAAGTGTGCACCACATCTGGTGACTTTAGAGGTCAGTATCTACTGGAACTGGAGTTATGGATGGCTGTGAGCTGCCATGTGGGTGCTGGGAATTGAACTCTAGTGGTCTGCAAGACCCAGTGCTCCTAACTGTGAACCCATCTTTCCAGCCCCTCACCTGTTTTATCCTGGAGTTCACAGACTGGTTAGGCTGGCTGGCCCCAGATCCCAGGCCCCAGAGATCCTCTCATCTCTGCCTCCCCAATGCTGGAGTACCAGGCTATAGTTTTTACATGTATTCTAAGGATCTGAATTCAGATCTTCATGCTGGCATGGCAAAGCACTTGGACCACTAAGCTCCCCACATCCATGTCTGGCCTTTGAGAAAGTATTGTTATGCTTCCCAATCTTACTGACTGCACTAGGCATCATGTCTTTTAGTGCTGAGGAGTGATCCCAGTTTATGTATGCTGAACAAGTACCCTACCAATGAGGTTACAGCCCCAGGAATGGGAAATGGTCTTGAATTTTCTCATTTAATCATTTGTACAGCTCTGAGAGGCAGGTAACTGGGTGATTCCTATTTTGCAAAGAAGAAATTTTTTGTTGTTTTTGTTTTTTCAAGACCAGGTTCCCTGGCTGTCCTGGAACTCCCTTTATAGTCCAGGCTGACCTTGAACTCAAATATCCTCCTGCCTCTGCCTGGGATTAAGGGTGTGCACCACCACACCAGGCCTGAAATTTTTAATTGATTATTAATAAGAATAAAAGGAAATAGATCACAGAGTTTAAGGTACTCTGCAAAGTTTTGAAATGATGGCTAGAAGTGCTTAGATTTAAACTCGAATTACCTGCCTTGCAGAACCTATGTTCATAACTATCGAGTCCCAAGCAAGATCACAAATGCCCTAAGGTCATAAAGAATGAATAATAGGATAAGGAGACTATTTAAGCGGGAAGTTTTCTGGTCGTTGCAAAACCACTGGAAGCCACTAGGAGGCTCTAGAAGACAGAACTTCTCTGGAGGTCCTTTAGGCAGCTCGTAGGCGAGGGGCTGTCAGTAAAAGGCAGGACTGAGGCTGTTGGAATAATGCAGAAAGGCCCGATGTCTTTGGGCTGCTAGAAAATGGCTCTATTTGGCTTAGGAAATACAGTTTGTTTGTAACCTGGTTGGAAGACAGAAAAGGTTTCTGGAAGTAGAGGGGATGATACTCTCAGCTTAGGACGTAGGGTCATTCCCGGACATCAAAGAGGGTTAACAGGTCAAGTTGTAGACACGTCACGAGGCTGACGCAAAGCCGGATCGGAACCACCCCTTGCCACACACTAGCAGCTAGCATGCCTCTCAGACCTTTTTGTTAGTCTTGCTAGTCGGTGCTAGGACCGCGCGACTGCTCTTAACCAGTGAGTCACCAGCGAGGGGGCGCATGCGCACTGCGGGGGTTGGGGGCGGATGCTCTGCCCTGGCTCGGTAGGCTGGGCCAGAATTCGTCACGTGTTCAGCTCTCTTCCCCGCTCACGTGACCGCGGCGCATGTCAGCTGATGAGAGAGGGTTTGAAGCGGCGCCGGGAGGGAGCGAGGCCGCAGTGACCGGGGCGCGCGCTCGGACCCGCCCGCGTCCTGCGCTCGCCGTGCGGCCATGGCCACCGCGGCGGGTCGGCGCGGCTCAGGTGAGCGCCGGCGGCGGCGGGAGGGCGCGCCCGGCTCCTCGACCTTGGATGGCGAGCACCCAGTCTTCCGCTCCTCAAGCCCAGTGTGGGAGAAATGGGCATTCGGCTTCTGGAACCTGGGCGGCGGGTGGGCATCAGAATCTCCGACCTTAGGCGGAGAGTTTCCACAGGTCTTAGAATCTGGGTGTCGGGTGGGTATTGACATACCTGACCTTGGGCGGTGAGCATCCAGCTTAAGGTTCTGAAGTTCAGGGAGGACTTCTCTGCGTTCCTAGGGAAGAGAGGTTGACAGGTGCCTCCTAGAACCTGGGCAGCGAATCGACAACCCCGACCTTGGGTGTTGAGCGCCCAGGTTCCCGTTCTTCAAGTCCAGTGCGGACTTCTCAGCTGCTCCCTAGGGGAAAGAATGGCAGAAGGCTCATAGATCCTGGGCGATGAGCTCCTAGTTTCCAGTTCCCCAGCGTCCCCATGGGAACCTAGGTGGTGGGTAGGTACCAACATCTCTAACCTCAGGTGGAGAGTTGTATAGTACGCAAAACCCAGGTAGTAGATGGGTACCAGTATCACTTGGCCTCAAGCAGCTCCTAGAACTGGATGGTAGTTGAACACCATCTCCCTCAACTTCTGACACTGAGCTCTCAGTTTTTCCCCCTACAGTCTGCTCCAGACTTCTTAACTGCCCTATGGAAGAGTCATGGGCAGATGGTTTTTACAGGCAGTGAGTGGACACCAGCCTTTAAAACCTCAGGCAGAGAGCTTTTTGTTGTTTTGTTGTTGTACATCCTGAAGGCCAGTAGAAACTTAGTTGCCTTATTACAGAGAGGTAGATTGTCTCTTGAACTTGGACTGTGGGTGGACCTTAAGCTTCTCCAGCTTCAGAGAGCAAGACTCCTGATAACCCCAGCCTTCACCTCACTTTTGCTGGGATTATATTCATGTGTCACCATGGATGGCTTTGTTATTCTGGAGCATTTCCTTCCAAGTTGTATGTGACCTATGAGTGTTGCCTTCCCCGGCCTAGTCTCTGCTCAGAGTTTGTAGGCACAGGCAGGCAGCAGCTCCACAGCTAGCTTCTCCCATTAGGATAGTGTTTGAAACCCAAAGATTTTGTTAGTAGTGGGTTTGTTTTGTTTGGCATCAGTGGCTTATTCTGTAGGATAGACATGAACCTGGTTTGAGACAGTCTTTCCGTGTAGCCCTGACAGTCCTGGAACTCTGAGATCTTCCATCCTCTGCTTCCGGAATGCAGTTGTGCACTATCACACAAGACTTAAAATGTGCTATCCTCCTTCCTGAGCCTCTGAGTACTGGGATTACAGGCCTAAACAAGTCTTCCTCCTCCTCTGCGGCTTCTTCCTTCTGAATTGAACCTAGGCAGACACACTACCACTGAGCTGTGTCCCCAGCTGTAGCCAAAGTTCCAATTGCTCAGTTTTCTGGAACTCCGTAACTTTCACATAAGTCCCAAGGCAGCTTCACTTCTACCAGCCGGTGTCCAAATGTTCGGCTTCCCTAAATGCAGACAGGAAGCGAGTTAGAAGGATGGCCTCCGTGAATCTAGGGAACTGATTGGATTGCAGCTCCCCAAGCCGGTGCAGTCTTGCCTTCCTAAACTGAGACCATATGCTTCCAGTTTCATGATTCCAGGCCCATCATGGGGAAACCTGGGGTGAAATCTCATGCACTGTGTACTGGTTGCAGACACTCACGTGGGAATCCTGCTGGCACCGGTAATGCCTGGGATGGGTTAGCTGTGCTCTTAGCCTGCCTCTGGCTTTCCTCCCTACTAGCTTGTAAACAAGCTCACCTAGACAAAACAGTGAGGAGCCAGGTTCAGAACTGAGGAACCACAGGTTGTACATGGGCCAGCTTCATCCTGACAGCTTTAGGGCTGAAAGAATGGCTCACAGATACAGCACTTGGATAGCATGTACAAGCAATTCCATCCCTAGCACCACAAATAAAATACAGGTTTCATCAGGCCTGGCTGTGTGTGCCTTTAATCCCAGCACTCGGGCCCAAGAGGCAAAGACAGGTAGATCTCTGTGAGTTCAAGCCAGCCAGTGACCAGTGACAGCTTGTCTTTTTTTTTTTTTTTTTTTTAAATATGGAATGCCTAACAAATTTGCATGTCATCCTTGTGCAGGTCCCATGCTAATCTTCTCTGTATCGTATTTGTGCTGCCGAAGGGAGCATGACACCCTGTGTTAAGTGGGGGGGGGGGTCTACATATCTTTGTCAGGTAGAGGGACAATGCCAAGGAGCAGAAAGAAGCATGCCTGTAATCCCAGCATTTGGGAAGTGGAGGCACGAGAATCAGCATTTAAGGCCATCTTCAATTCTAATGAGTTTGAAACCACCTGCACTAGATCTGTTTGGTTTTGGTTCTTTTGTTTGTTTGGTTTTGGTTTTGGAGACTGTGTAGCCCAGGCTGCCCTGGAACTCACTTATAGACCAGGCTGGCCTCAAACTCACAGAGATCCACCTGCCTCTGCCACCACCACCAGGCTATATCTTTTTGTTGCTGTTCATTTGTTTTGTTTTTTCTTTAGAGAGAGTATGAGGAAGACTGACCAAGGCTTGAAAGGTCTTCCAGTGGAGGTAATTAGGCTGTTAGAGACAATTCTAGGCTACCAGGTACCAGGACTGGCTGGGACTCTAGCAGTTGCTACCACCTGGGAATTTTGTTCTTGTGTTCAGAGTTGGCTCTTCCACACTGGCCTCCAACTCACAGCTGTCCCTGCCTCCAGCCCAACTCTCAAGTATTTGCATTGCAGGTGTGAGCACTGGGCTATGACCTAGCTATGCTCAGACCTAGCTATGCACTGAAGAATGGGCTCTTCCCTGATGGATCTGGCAGGATTCTCAAAGCAGTTTCAGAATCTCAGCCTTAGGGATAGATGGCTTTAATTTCCGCTTTCTGGAAGAATTGGGGAGGTGGACTGGGGCTGGAATTTGACTTTTGGCATCACCCTGAAGGGTGATGAAGTGAGTTAGTTGGCTGCAGAGGACAACCTGTAGGAGTTGATCCTCTCCTTCCACCATGTGGGCCCCAGGGATTGAACTCAGGTCGTCAGGTTTGGCAGCAAGCACCTTTACCTACTTAGTGAGTCACCTTGCCAGCCCATGTTGGGCTTCTTCTGAGTCAGGCTCTAACCCAAGTTGGCCTGTGTTTCCGTATGTAGCTCAGGCAAACCTTGAACTTCCACCTCTGAGTGCTGGGTTTACAGACATGAATCATTATATCAGCTTTTATTATTGTTAGAGCCAGACCGGTAGCCTGGCATGGGCTGGTTTCTAGTGGGGTCAAAGGTTATTCTTGGGGGATTTGTCCTGAGAACACTGGAATGTGGGCTCTGTTCTATGCTAATTCCTTGTAGGTTAGAATTGGATTAAGTGTGTGGGCCTTGCCAAATCCTCCAAGAAGCCAGCCCAGCCCAAGCTGGTCCTTCTTCCCCCAAACCCACAAGAAGACTAGTAGATTTTTCTGGCTAGCTGCAGTCCAGGCTCTGAGGTAAAGGCTGTCTGAGGATTTAGTTCTCAGTTTATGGAGGGTGATGGTTGTTGCTTCATTTGTAAGATGAGGTTGAGGCTCAGTGAGGAGATTAAATTTAGATCGTCAAGCTTGGTAGCAAACACCTTCACTCTCTGAGCCATTTTACTGTCCACCTGCCCTCCCTCACCCTTTCTTTCTCCTTGAGACAGAATCCCAGGCTGAGGAAGGCTTTGAACTCCTGATCCTCCTGACTAGGGTTATAGGCATATGGAATGCCAGGGTACTTTTTCTTTCTCTCACGGAGTGGCCAATGCTGGCCTAGAACTTGTAATCCTTCTCTGCCTCAATTTGCCAGTGTTGGGATTATAAGTTTGTGCCTTCTCCCCTTCCTTCCTCTGTCCTCTCCACTTGCCCTTCCTTTCTTACCAGGCTCTCGTGTAACTCAGGCTGGCTGCATACTTACTGTATAGCCAGAGATGGATTTGATCTCCTGATCCCTCTGCTTCTAGCTCCCGAGAGCTGGGGTCTGGAATGTGCACTACCATGCTCAATTTCTTTTATGTGGGATCAGACTCAGAGCTTCCTGCATTCTAAGCAAGCACTCTCCCAACTGAGCTATATCCCAACCCTGGGTTTTCCTTCTTTTTAAAATATTCCTTATGACACTCCTTTATTGTGTTTGTGTGCACTTGTGCATGAGTATGTGGGTTCTCTCCTTCCACCATGTGGATTCAGAGGATCAAACGCAGGTTGTCAGGCTTGATGACAAACATCTTACTTGTTGAGCCATCTTGCAGGTTCAAACTGTAGTTTTTCTTCTACATGCATCCTTGCATGTAGGATTGGTGAGACTTGCTGGGGAAGGAAGCAGAGGGTATTGTCTATCCCTGATCTTCTACCATCTTTTCCCGTTCTTTTAGAGACTGAGCGACTGCTGACCCCCAATCCTGGGTATGGCTCCCAGGTGGGAACTTCACCAGCCCCAACAACCCCCCCAGAAGAGGAAGACCTCCGCCGCCGCCTCAAGTACTTCTTTATGAGCCCCTGTGACAAGTTCCGGGCCAAAGGCCGTAAGCCTTGCAAGCTTATGCTGCAGGTGGTCAAGATCTTGGTGGTCACTGTGCAGGTAAGACCAGCCAGGGAGGGTTGTGCGAAATGCCACCATGGCCTCTTGCTGTCACAGACAACAATGACAGTGGCATTACCAGTTAGGAAAGAGTCTAAGATTTGTGCTCAACAATTCCCTATAGCTTCCCAGAAGCACTGGCCACACTCTTCCCTGCACTGTATACCCAAATGCCCTTGATGCTTACACAGGATAAGAGTTGTGTAAAGTCCCCCCGTGGCTGAGCACTGGGTAGATGGCATTTGAACCCCACCGATCTGATGCTATTCTGATCTCTTCTGATCTCAGCAAAAGTAGATCACAGAGTAGACCAGTGGTACCTATCCTGGAGGCTTGAGTCAGTTGGTAAACATACACTGACCATTCACTAGCACCCACTTTGTGCTGTGCACTGGGGATGTTTTGATTTGATGGATGTATCATGGAATTTAAGGAGTGGGGAGTGAAGAGGGCCATGTTGCTCAAGGCAAAAAAGGAAAAGTACAAGGAGCTGGTGTGTAGGCTGGTTTTTATGTGACTTGACACAAGCTAGAGTCAGTGGATAGGAGGGAACCCCAATTAGAAAAGGCATCCATAATATCTAGTTGTAAATAAGCCTGTTAGGCAATTTCTTAATTCATGATCAATGAGGGAGTGCCTAGCCCACTGGGTGATTCTTTACCTGGAATGGTGGTCCTGGGTTCTATAAGAGGCAGGCTGAGAAAGCCATGTGGGGCAAGCCAGTAAGCAGCACCCTCCATGGCCTCTGAATCAGCTCCTGCCTCCAGATTCCTGCTCTGTTTGAGTTCCTGCTCTGTCTTCTTCAGTGGTGAACTGATATGTGAAAGTGTAAGCTAAACAAACCTTTTCCTCCCCAGGTTGCTTTTGGTCATGGTGTTTCATCACAGTTATAACCCTAAAGCAGCTGGGAATGTGGTAGAATGCTTGGCTGGCATGCATGAAACCCTAGGATTTATCCCCAGTACTGCACAAACCAGGTGTGGTAGACACCTGTCCCCAGCTCGGGAGATAGAGCCAGCAGGATCGGGGGTCAGGGCTATCTTTGACTGAATAACAAGTTACAGGCTACCCCCCTGCAGTGCTAACTATGGCCTTGTCTCACCCCAGGGGACATCTCTTGGATTCTCTTTTTTCTTCTTGCTGAGTTGTACTTTCAGGGTCAACCTCTGGCTTTATTTTGCCAGCTCATTCTCTTTGGGCTCAGCAACCAGCTGGTGGTGACATTCCGGGAAGAAAACACTATTGCCTTCCGACATCTCTTCCTGCTGGGCTACTCTGATGGGGCAGATGACACCTTTGCTGCCTACACACGAGAACAGCTCTACCAAGCCATCTTCTATGCTGTGGACCAGGTATAGTGAGCAGGTGTGAGAGGGTTGGGGGAGTACTGTACAGAACAGGTGGGGCTGACAGGCCCTTCTTCTCTACCCACAGTACCTGATACTGCCTGACATATCTCTGGGCCGGTATGCCTATGTCCGTGGTGGGGGTGGCCCTTGGGCCAATGGCTCGGCTCTGGCTCTCTGCCAGCGGTACTACCACCGTGGCCATGTGGACCCAGCCAATGATACCTTTGACATTGACCCAAGGGTAGTCACTGGTGAGTAGCCAGGTCAAGGCCTAACTCTGGGGAGTTTAGGTTTCCAGGATTAAAACCTGACCTCTGGGCTAGAGATCTCAGCAATACAAGAGCCCGCTTAGAATCCCCCAGTGAGGGGCTAAAGGCGAGGTTGTGGGAAATAAAGGAAAATAGAGAAATGGGAAAAAAAAAGACCTAAAATCCCAATCTTGTCAGCTGTCTGTCTGTGCGATCAATTGAATTTGACAGATGCAGCATGCTTAGTGGAGTGCATATCACAGGGAGAGCCAGGCATTTTTTTTAATATCATCTATTCACTGAGCTTTAGAGGGCCTCGGAATGCTGTGGTCGCTGTAGAGCATGAGGTAGATCATGGTTTGGGTGGAGGCGGCTAAAGGTGAGGTGCGAAGGGAAGGGCTGGAGGTGTAGCTCTGGTGGACTCTGGCCCAGCACATGAATTCTAGGCTTGACCCCTAGTGCTGGAAAAGGGCAATAAAGCATGAAGTGTGAGCTGAGAGAGTGAAGGAAACCTGACAGGACCATGGGAGACTGGCCTGGGCCTCTCCTGCTCCCTGAGTTCTTTCCCTGACTACCTGTCCTTAGACTGTATCCAGGTGGACCCTCCTGACAGACCCCCAGACATCCCCAGTGAGGACTTGGATCTCTTGGACAGCAGCACCAGTTACAAGAACCTCACGCTTAAATTCCACAAGTATTGCCCTTTTCTTTTGAAGGGGCTGATTCCTTGAGGGGTCCAAGGGTCCCACTGAGGGTGGGGTGGGTGGAGGTGGCAAGTCCAGACTTGTGGATCTGAAGCCACTTTCATGGAGTCGGTGGGGGCGAGGCCAGCACGCAGTGACCTGAAGCAGCTGAGTAAGCTGTGCCCCCCCCCCCCCCCGCTCTGGCTGCAAAGTCAGTCCAGTATAGGAGCGACTGACATTGCACCCCTGCCGCTCACCCAAGCCTCCCCCAACAGGCTGATCAACGTCACCATCCACTTCCAGCTGAAGACGATTAACCTGCAGAGCCTCATCAACAATGAGATCCCAGACTGTTACACCTTCAGTGTGCTGGTGAGCAGACGGGTAGCCCTCCAGACTCCCTGGTTAAGGGCCATCAGAGGAACATTCACCTGAGATGCTGTGAGAGTGATGGGGTAGAGCCTAGGACCTTGACCATCAGTCATGGGGGCTGGGAGTTGCTGTTGGGGCTGCTCAGGCTTACTCTGCCCTTACCCGTTCAGATCACGTTTGACAATAAAGCGCACAGTGGGCGAATCCCTATCCGCCTGGAGACCCAGACCCACATCCAGGAGTGTAAACATCCCAGTGTCTCCAGACATGGTAAACCCTCCTACCCTCAGACCCTTTACCACCCCAAGAACAGCCCTGACCCTCCCTGCCGAGTGTTTCCTGAGCCTCCTATAGTACTTTCCATGCCTTACCTGTGAGCATCAGTGTCGATCATGCACCTTGTCCTTCCTGGGAGTGTCCTAGGCCCAGTCAAGTCTATCACAAGGATCCAGGCCTGTGATCCCATTTACTAAGAAGGTTGATGAAGGAGGTTCACATACTCAAAATCTGCCTGGACTGCTGGGTTACAGAGTGAGGTCAAAGGCAGCCTGGAGACCTTAAAACAAAAAGTAAAATGATGGCTGGGGGTGTAGCCCAGTGGTATAATGGTAGCCTAGCATACTCAAGGCTTTAGGTTTCATCTCCAGCACTGAAAATAAATATATAATTAAGTAAATATTTTCCTATACTCACAGCGTAAGGATTAGGAATTGAAGGTCATCCTTGTCTACATAGTAAATTCCAGGTTACACTAGGCTATGCAAGACCCTGTCTTAAAATAAAACAAAATGGGCTGGAAATGTAGCTCAGTAGCAGAGTAATTCCTAGCAGATATGAGGCCCTATGTTCAATTCTCAGTGCTTTGAAAGCTTTTAGTTTTCCTGTAATCCTAGTAGTCTAGAGGCTGAATTCAAGACCAGCCTTGGCTGCATAAGTAAGTTTGAGGTCAGCCTGGGATATATAAGATCCTGTCTTTGAGACAAACAACAAAACAAAACAGGGTAGGGATATATTTTAGTAGTTAACTGGAAAACTGTGCTCTGTACCAATGTTCATCAGGGATTTTGACACTCCATGATAGGGAACCTCTGAGTTTAACCCTCTAAACCAGATGAGTACACCCTCACCCTCTCCTCCAGGACTCTTCCCCTGGTCCAGCCCTTAGCTCCCGCCTCTTATCCTGCAGGAGACAACAGCTTCCGGCTTCTATTTGATGTGATGGTCATCCTCACCTGCTCCCTGTCTTTCTTGTTGTGTGCCCGCTCACTGCTACGTGGCTTCCTGCTGCAGAACGTGAGGCCCTGGTGTCACGAGCGCTGGTGCCCGCCTTGCCCAGCCCTGGGGCTGGGGTGGGGGTAATGGCCTAGTGGTTTCTAGACAGACCCTCACCTGGGCTCCTCCCTTAGGAGTTTGTTGCATTCATGTGGCGTCGGCGGGGTCGGGAAATCAGCCTGTGGGAACGGCTCGAGTTCATCAATGGCTGGTATATCCTGTTGGTTACCAGTGATGTGCTTACCATCTCCGGGACTGTCATGAAGATCGGCATTGAGGCAAAGGTATGAGTCTTGCCAGTGCCCTGCTCTAGGGACCCTGTATCTCTCTCCCTTTTTTTGTTTGTTTGTTTGTTTGTTTGTTTTTTGTTTGTTTGCTTGTTTGTTTTGTATTTTGCCTGTTTGGGGACCACTTCCCTATCTAGGTAGAGTATGCCTATGGGTTGCTCCCTCACTCTTTCCCTCAGAACCTAGCCAGCTATGATGTCTGCAGCATCCTCTTGGGTACCTCCACTCTGCTCGTCTGGGTTGGTGTCATCCGCTACCTGACCTTTTTCCACAAGTACAACGTGAGTCTCTTGCCCCTGAGCTGCCCCAGGGTATTATCTGCTCCAGGCCTCTCAAATGAACCCAAGCACACAAAGCAGTCACTAATTCCTGCCAATCTGTGACCCACCACAAGCCTCTTTATTCTTCCTTTATTTACTTTTTTACTTATTTTTTAAGTTTTTGAGACAGGGTTTCTCTGTGTAGCCCTGGCTGTCCTAGAACTCTCTGTAGACCAGGCTGGCCTAGAACTCACAGAGATCTGCTTGCCTCTGCCTCTTGAATGATGAGATTAAAGGTGAGCACCACCACCTCTCAGCTTATTTTTTAGTTTTAGTTTTTGATTTTTCAAGACAGAGTTTCTCTATCTAGCCCTGGCTATTTTATAATTTGGCCTTAAACTTAAGATATTTGCCTGCCTCTGCCTCCCTGAGTGCTGGGATTAAAGGCATGCACCACTGTTGCCCACCTTTTAAATTTTTTTTAAAAGATAAGATCTTGTATAGCCCAGTCTGGTCTTGCTACGTAGCTCAGGATGACCTTGAACTCCTGATCTTCCTGCTTTCCACCTCCCAAGTGCTAGAATGACAACTATATGCCATTCTGCTTGGTTTTATGTAGTGCCAGGGGTCAAACTCAAGGCCCTGTGCATACTAGGCCCTCTCCAAACCACAAATCTCTTTCTTATACCCACCTACCACAGACACACTCATCTTTGTACCTTGGCAGGACCACGGGAGCCTATCCATACCTGTCCATCCAGCTGAGTCCAGCTGTGGTATGTCCTAGGCTCCTCCCAGGTGGGTCCTGCCCTATCTAAACTCTCAGCAGCCCCTCTGGCCACATTGGTGAGGTCCCCCCTGCCATCTGAGAGGCTAGTTAGATTGTGGCCATTGCCTTCACTGTGGTCCCCTTACCCCTCTGCAGATCCTGATTGCCACTCTTCGTGTGGCACTGCCCAGTGTCATGCGTTTCTGCTGCTGTGTGGCTGTCATCTACCTAGGCTATTGCTTCTGTGGCTGGATTGTCCTGGGACCTTATCACGTGAAGGTATGGGCTGCAGATGTTTGTGAAAGGGCCCCAGGCTCCCACACCCCTCCCAACCTCTGGTCTCTTAGTTGTTGACCTGATGACCTGAAAGACCCAGTTTGACCTCTGGTCTACAGACTTTCAGGTTTCATTTTTTCATTTGTGCAAGTAAATGTGCTCATGTGTGTGAGTGCATGTATACATGTACTATGCGTGTATGTACACGTATGGGGAAGCCAGGGATCAGCTTTTGCTGTCATTTCTAAAAAGTTATTCACCCAATAGTTTTGTTTTGGAGGCAAGGCTTCACAGTGTAGCCCTGACTATTCTGGAACTCACCATATAATCCAGGCTAGCCTCAGACTCCCAGACATGCATCCATCTTCTCCCAGAATGTTGGGATTAAAGGCATGTGTCATTCATGTCCAGCCACACCTTGGTTTTTCTTTTGAGACAGAGATTAATTGGCCTGTAGCCTATGATCAGGATCATTATCTGGCCTCTGAGCCCCAAGCAATGCTCCTGGCTTGTACATCCCTAGTGCTGGGATAACAGGCACACTTCCACACCTGGCTTTTTCTGTAGGTGCTGGGGATCAAACTTGGGATCTCATGCTTTACCAGCTGAGCCACCTCCTGTGCCTTATAACAGTTTTGCATTCTGTGCCTCTGACCCTCAATGATCCTGATATTGACCCTGTGACTTGGTCATTCTTGTGGTCACTGATGGCTTGACTTGAGTTACTAACAAACAGTCCCTGGCTGTATGATCTTTCTGTTAAATCTGTAAACTTGCCATTGATATGATGACCCTTTGATAGGTCAAGCGGCCAGTCATTCTGCCCACTGACCCCTGGTGAGCCTGACTACCCCCAGTCATACCTACTCTTCCCCCACCTCATTGCCCACAGTTCCGCTCGCTGTCCATGGTTTCCGAGTGTCTATTTTCGCTCATCAACGGGGACGACATGTTTGTGACATTCGCAGCCATGCAGGCCCAGCAGGGTCGCAGTAGCCTGGTGTGGCTCTTCTCCCAGCTCTACCTCTACTCCTTCATCAGCCTCTTCATCTACATGGTGCTGAGTCTCTTCATCGCACTCATCACCGGCGCCTACGACACCATCAAGGTCAGCCACCGTTACCCTCCTCCCCAGGAACCCTGTTTCCCTCTCCCCTCCCATGAACATTTTCAGCCTGAGTCCCAAGGGCTGCCTGGAGTTGTCCTGGGGTCACAGCAGATGGAACAGCAAAGACCCAGAGGCTTTATGAAGTTCAACGAGAGAACGAGCTGGAACTGGGGTTGAGGGTACTTAGGGTCATTCTGAAAGAGAAGCCTAGGACATACCATAGGTGCTTTCAGCTGGATGGGCAGGAAAGGACAGCTTCTTGCAGTCCTGCTGGGGAACCAGAAGGTGCATTTTATGTATTATCTCTGTGTGTGCACGCACACACATGCACACATCCACATACACACATTTCTTGTTACATGTGTGGAGGTTAGAGGACAGCCTGCTAGAATTGGTTCTCCCCTTTCACCACATGGACCATAGACCCAGACTAGAGTGCCTTCACCTCCTGAGCCATCTCACTGGTCTCCTCCCTCTCCCATATGATCCTTTTAAAACACTTATTTATTTGGGGTAGCAGTATTTGGAGGAAAGAAAACAATTTGTGGAAGTCAGTTCTCTCTTTCACCGTGTGGAGTCATCAGGTTTGGTGGCGAATACTTTTACTTACTCTCTGAACCATCTTATAGGCCTGTTAAGATCTTCTTTCCTTGGAGGATGACCTTGAACTTCTTTCTTTCTGCTTCCACACCCTGAGTGCTGGGCTTCTAGGTGGATGTTTACTACCTCATGAAGTGTATGCAGTGCTGGGAGTGGCTTCCTGAAGGCTCTGCAATCATTTCTCCCAAGCTTATGCGCTTTTCCCACCTACATCAGGGTCCTTCTGGAATCTTCTGTGCTTCTTTCATACCTATTACTGGTAGCTAGCAACCCATGTACTAGTCATACTTCCCACTAGCCCTAGAGGGACAATGACCACTTGGTACTCAGTGTGCTCCACACTCCTTAAGACATGTTTGCTGAGTGTGAATCCTGTGTCCCTGCCACCCTGATTGTGTTCTTGTCCTTCTCTCATTCAGCCTCCCACAGCGTGCAGGAAACTGCTTTTTATTAGCACCCTATAAGGCACAGGAGCTACACACACACACAGACAGCAGATATACCTAAGTATCCTAGATGGCTGCTTAGAGCATCCCCCTCATCTCCTAAGAATTCTAGATTGGGGAGATGGGAGTCCAAGAGAGAATGTATTTGTAGACAAGCAGATTCAAAGACCTGGCAGCTGGAAAGGGCTTGGAGAAGTAGTAGTGGTCCAGAAGCCATGGGAAGACTTTCCTGGGACTCTGCTTCATTTTGTCACTGGTAGCAGCTGTGTGCTCTGTGCATGCTTTCCTACATGGATTATCTATAGCTATCCCATGGGTATATTACTGTCACCCAGGCCCCAACTGGAGCACTCAGATATCACACACATGCAGCACACTTGGATGTAGTTCAGACCTGTGTGTTACCTTGTTCCAGCTCGTAAGATAGATTGCTAAATACCCAGTCTAGGCTCCTGGTCTGCAGCAGAGGGCACTATACCAATAAACCTGAGACCTTTGGTGACAGCCAGAGATGAGAAAGGGGTCTACAGTGAAGCAAGCCATAAGGCAAGGGTCCAGAAGTGAGACCTAGGGTGGTCCCATCAGACAAACAGTGGGACACCCAGTTGACTGGCCCTTAAGAGCTTTGGAGGTCAGGACCAGCTTTCATGCCGGGTTCCTGGGGTTGTCTCTCCCCAGCACCCGGGAGGCACTGGCACAGAAAAGAGCGAGCTCCAGACCTACATCGAACAGTGCCAGGATAGTCCCACATCTGGCAAGTTCCGTCGTGGAAGTGGCTCGGCTTGCAGTCTGCTCTGCTGCTGTGGAAGGTTGGAGCCCAGGTCTGGGTTGTGAATTGATAGAGCCTAGGGGAAGGAGTGTGTGCCAGAGAGCTCTGATGTCCCTTCTTCCCACTTCTCTTCCAGGGACTCCTCAGAGGACCATTCGCTGCTGGTAAACTGATTCCAAGATGATCGCCACTAGACTTTATCCCCTCTACTCCTGGGACCCCAGCTTATTTATTTTTAGCATTTGCTTTTAGGAGGGCTGGAGAGAGGGCTCAGTGGTCAAGAGCACTGCCTGCTCTTCCAAAGGTCCTGAGTTCAATTCCCACAACCACATGATGGCTCACACCATCTGTAATGAGATCTGGTGCCCTCTACTGGCCTGCAGGGATGCATGCCGGCAGAACACTATATACGTAATAAATACATCTTTAAAAAAAGAATTTGCTTTTAAAGATCTGCTTCTGACAGGCCTAGTGAGGGCTCGGGCTGGTCGAATCAGACACTGGGGAAGGGAGGGTTTGTGGGGTGACTGTTAAATAAAAGGGAACATAAACGTGATGATCTAATTTGTAGTGTGCGTGGGGGGGGGGGCAGTCCTTACACCACAACTCAGCGCCTTTAAGAGACTGCCACACTCGGAATGGCTGGCGCAGTGCGACCTTCCAAGCATGGCGGGAGGCGGAGCTGGGGCGTGCCCTGCAGTGGAATAATTTAAAGGTGCCGCGTCTGCGGCAGCGGTCGAAAAACTGGGGGTGTTGACCAGCGCTGGCTGGACACTGGTTGCAGCTCCTGGGTGATCCGAATTTCCTTCGACCAAGCAAGGGCGTTCCTTCGAGGACCGTTAGAGAGCTTCTGCTTTGCCCCGAATCGATTTGTCCTCTGATTCCGGGTAGGTCCCGACTTTCTGATGCTCTCACCCCACCCCCATTCCTGAGTTCCTTGCCCCGGTGTTTCCGCTTCGATAGCCAGGTGCGTCTGTTTGTACGGAAGGGGATTAGTCGATTTAACAATTTTCAGGTAGCATCTCAGGGCTCTGCGATCCCCCTAAATTTCCATTAATAGTCTAAGGTATCAAAAAAAATATATCTCCAGCGTCCTAGAAGAATCCCGGTAGCATTCCATCTTCCCTTAGTATCTTCCAGGAAGCTCAGGTGCTCTCCCCAACATGTAGACTTTTCGTTAGTAGTTAATATACCTCCAGATCTCTCAGTAACTTTCCAGTGCGCCGCCCCCCTCCTAATCTCCCCCAATTCCGGCGTCCCTGGTTACATCTCCTGTATCATTCCAATTATCCCAGGGATGCTCCACACTGTAGCTTTCCTGTTTCGTGACAGTTAAATCTGAAAGCTTAAACCTATAACACTTTGGCAGCTCATCCCACCCCAAGGACATTAGGGCCTCTTTTCCAAGACAATCCACGGCAGTTCTCAACGCCCCAGCTTCCAGCTTCCTTGATAGGGCAGGCTTGAGTCAGGAGCCCAGAGTCCAGTTGTCGCTTAGTCCTGGTTTTTCCTCGAGTGGGACATCAAGTCTTTACCGGGTGTAGGAGGGCGTCCAGCTTGAGGATTGGTTAATCAAGACGAGTCAGATCTACGGAAAGCTAAAGCCAAAGAAGGAACCACTTTCAGAAGAGACCAAGGCCTAAGGCACCTGTCAGGAACTGTTGACTGTGGGTGCTAGGACCACTACCGGTTGGCAATAGGGTGCAGGTGAATAACGTTGGGGTGTCTGATCGGTCTTATTGTGTAAGTGAAGAGGGTCAGACAAGGAGCTGGGGCAAGTTTTTCCCTTAGATCGGGTCTGGGAGGTCCATTCGCCCCCATCCCTCTGTCCAGCAGCACCCTGTCTAGCCGCTCCCATCCCAACTCTGGCGAATGGAGAAGTCATCCAGGCCAAAGGTATCTAGGGGGTGTGGCTTGTGAGAAGGGGGGGGAAGAGCCTGTGGTCGGGGCTGGGTAGGCTTGATTGACGGCTCGCTCTGGTCCCTTCTACTCCTCAATTTCCAGGACTGCAGGCTATCAGATCTGCTACCTAGTCCGCAACAACCAATGGAGGCGCCACTGCAAACCGGAATGGTAAGGGTTGGGGAATTTGTGCTCCGGACTACAACTCCCGGCGGGCTTGCTGTGCGCCGCGCGATTCTCTCTTCGAGAATGTATGTGCAGGCGAAACTACGTTTCCCGGCATGCATCGCGGGACACCTAGCCTCAGGGAAGAGTCAGTCGCTCCCCCCGTAGGGGGGATGGGAAGGGAACTGGCAGTGACCCATTCTGCAGATGGGGACACCGAGTCATGAGCTGAACACGACCTCCTCCGGGGCAGAGGTGATTCGAAAGGCCCTGGAGGAGGGCTTAGCGAAACGGATATGCGTTGCCCAGCCTGTGCCGTTCGTTCCGCAGGTGCTGGGCGTGATGATCGGAGCCGGAGTGGCGGTGCTGGTCACCGCTGTGCTCATCCTCTTGGTGGTGCGGAGGCTGCGGGTGCAGAGTGAGGATTCGAAGGGCCCCTCTGGGGGAAGGCTGTAGGGATGGAGGGGGAGCTGCAATACCCGGAGACGCCAAGTGGCAGGGGTGGGAAACTTGCTGGAGCTCAAAGCATCGTCCCTTCCCTTCCACCTACCCCCAGAAACTCCAGCTCCGGAAGGCCCCCGGTATCGGTTCCGGAAGCGGGACAAAGTGCTTTTCTATGGCCGGAAGATTATGCGGAAAGTGAGTTCCAGGACCTCCTGCTGGCATGGCTACCACCCTTTTCCTATTTACATTTACTAGTGGACACCTCTGCCTTTGTTAAGGTCCTCTTGGATGCCCTTCCTCTTTTTCTAATTGGCCTCATATTCTTAATTCTCCAGGTGTCACAGTCCACTTCCTCCCTGGTGGACACATCGGTGTCCACCACTTCTCGGCCCCGCATGAAGAAGAAATTGAAGATGCTCAACATTGCCAAGAAGTAAGGCTGACACTGGGTATAATATCAAGTGCTGGACCTCATCATAATATCACACCTGTACCTCAGAGTTGTTTAACATATGGTCTGTCTTGGGATGTCCCTCATCAGAGGACTGTCCCAAGTCTCTCACTCGGCAAGATTGTCTCAGAGTTCTGCTATCCCAGACATGATGCTTATGGTGTGGGAATACCTGTGGCTGGAGTCTTGTCTCAATAATGTTCCCTGTCCCTGAAGGCTATCTGCCATATTTAGGTGTCTACATCTGGTGCCTTGCCATATTAGAGAGTTTATTCAAGGTGTCATATTGCAGTTATCTCAGAAGTTTGCATGGCTAGCCAGAGGGGCTTTTTCATGATTCTGTTCTCCAGGGACATCATTCTACCCATACAGGAGAGCATCTCTCTTGAGTTGTCTATGTTGTATAGTTCTTTTCCCCTGGGAGCTATCTTACCGTGTGTGTGTGTGTGTGTGTGTGTGTGTGTGTGTGTGTGTGTGTGTGTGTGGTTTGCTTGGGTTTGGTGTGTTTTTGGGGACAAGGTCTCATTTAGCCCAGGCTGACCTGGAACTTTGTAGGTAGTCAAGACTGATGTGGACTCCTGGTTTCCTTTTGTGTTGGGATTATAGGTATGTGTCACTGTGACTAGTTTATATGATCGAAGAAATGAAACTCAAGCTTTGTGCATGCCTAGCAAGCTCTCTACCAACTAAGCCACATCCTCATTCATTCATTCATTCGTTTTTTTCAGCAAGCATTCTGCCACTGAGCTATACCCTTAACCCCTACTTTACTTAAAATTTTTATTATTTAAAATTTATTTATTATGTGTGTGTTTATATGTAGAAGTGCACATATCATAGCATGTATATAGCAATTGGTTGTCTCCTTCCACCATGTGAATCTCAGGGATTGAACTCAGGTTGTAAGGCTTAGCAGAGAGTCCCTTTGCCCATGAGCCATCTTGCTGGCCTTCCTTTTCGGTTTTATTGAGCTCATTTAATTTGCTTTGTGGTGCACAATATCAAACTCAGAGACTCAGCACGCTAGGCAAGCATTTTTACCAGTGAGCCAACTCAAATCCTATACTTTTTTTGAAGACAAGTTATCCAGGTTGGCCTTGAATTTTCTCTGTAGCCCAAGCAGGCCTTGACCATGTGATCCTCAGTCTCTGCCTGGTGAGTAACTGGAATGACAGGCCTGTGCCAATCACGTTTGCCTTCTTCAAGAATTCCTTTGTGGGCCAGTAAGATGGCACAGTGTGTAAAGGCACTTGCTGCCCACTCTGAAGACATGAGCTCCATTCCTGGAGCCCACATGGGGCAAGGAGGGAACTGACTAGTGCAAGTTGTCCTCTGACCTCCACATACATGGATGAATAGATAAACAAATATAAGTAAAAACGTTTAAGGAAATAATTCCTTTTCGTTAGAAACATAGGGCGGTAGTAGCTCCCACCTTTAATCCCAGCACTTGGGAGGTAAAGGCAGATGGATCTCTGTGAGTTTGAGGCCAGTCTGGTCTACAAAGTGAGTTCCAGGACAGCCAGGGTTACAAAGAGAAACCCTGCCTCAAAAAACCAAAAAAGAAAAGAAACATAGGAAGATTATCTCAGGTGTTTGTCGGTGTCTTTGAGAAGGCTCTTTCAGAGATCTGGGATCTTTTTGCACCAGAAGCTCTACCAGAAGATCTTTCTCAAGGATGTATTTAATACCAGGGGCTATCCTTGAACTATATGACAAACCATGGTATTACAGGGCTTTCTGTGATTTTGGTAGAAGGGCTGTATGTGTCTAGTTTGTTGTGATCAGGCTGGGAAAATGGCTTGTGTTGGTAAAGTACCTGCCTTGCAAGCATCAGTATCTGTGTCTGATCCTCAGGATACACATTAAAAAAAAAAAAAAAAAAAAAAAAAAAAGCAAGGCTGGGCATGGTAGCTTACTTGTCATCTCAGCCCTGGGGAAGTAGACACAGGCAGGTCCCTGGGTCTCCCTGACTGGCCAGCACAATGTGCTTGGTAAGTTCCACCTGACTGAGAGATCCTGTGTCAAACAAATATGGTGGCTAACATCTGAGGAGCAACAACTGAGGTTGTCTTCTGGCCTACATGTGCATGCATGCACACACGCATACACACACACACCTTAGCAAAAGTGTATCCAGTTTTTCTGCACCATGGATTATCTGTGGTAATCACATAATGGTAAGAAGCTACCCCGGTGCCTTGGTGAGTTCAAGACAATTATCTCAGAACTGTGATAGAAGACTTCTGTCAGAGTCTGGTATGGTGTGGTGTACACCTGCCGTCTCTATACGCAAGAGGTGGAAACGGAAAATGGCAGGTCAAGGTCAGCGTCGGCTCCTTAGCCAAGTCTGGAGCCAGCTTGGGCTACATGAGACACTGTCTAAAAGTGCCAACAAAACAGAAAGAATTCTATCTGGGATTC